TAATTAATAATAATAATAATAATAATAATAATAATAATAATAATAATAATAATAATAAGTTAATAAGTTACGTCACTAAAGGCAGGTAAAACAGCCCACGTGCTAAAATTAATCACAATGTCCAATTTCGTAAAGAATTTTCTGAGCATTGTTTTTATTGAAAATCTACTACAAAGCCTCAATCCGATTTTTTTGTATTTGTCGGATTGCTAGGCGTAATCTCATCGCTACGACACAAAGTAAACAAAAGATTAATGAAATGATAATATTGATAAATTTGAATAGCACAAACATCACTTACTCTTCAGTGTCACTCCGCGTATCCTCGGCATTCTTTCCATTTAAAACTCGCCAAGCAATACGTAGAATCAGCACAAACCAATAAATCATTAGAATTTGTAGCGCCATTAGACCAAGCGCGATAATGAATCGAGTCCATTTGTGCAGCCAATATCCGTTCAACGGGTCCCAAATACACGGATTGATGTCCGGCAAGCAAGCCTCGAATACCGTGGAATAGGTGATGAATCCGTAGAGATAATGACGCGTGTATGCCCATGTTATCATAAATAAAACGAACATCGAATCGGTGATTAGTGTCGGGAATTGGAGGTACTTAAGACATTTGGCAACCTAATATTTGTAATTTATTAGATATAAAGTTAATAACTAATATTGTTCCTTCACACATGTGAAAAATAGGTACACGACGCGTTTTTAAAATCAAATGGTTCGTGCTTTACAATAAGAGTGATTTGAATATTCTTACCGCTAACCAAATATCCGAAAAATCCATAGTGATGAAAACTGCATTCCCAATTCTCGTAAAATTGAATAAATAACTTCCACCGATCAATACACATGTAATAACATGATGTGCAACAAGTTCAAGAAAGTCCTTTCTAGGTTTCTCGAGATTAAGAATAAGAATTACGACTTGTTGAAGCCAAAATCCGGATTGAATGAGATAATAATATTTTTCTAATGCACTCAAATGAAAATGAGGATAATCGATCCAAAAGTACTTCGTCTCAAAATACCAGTAAGGGCTTTGGCGCATCATATACTACATAATTTAAAAAAAGAGAAAGAACAAATTAATTGGTACTCTGAATGTGAGGTTAGTTTCTCGATACTATTTATCTCTTAATTAAAAATTTCCCACTTTTTGAACCATAATCACCGACGCAAAAAAAAAGATTAAGAGACATGCATAATTTTGTGACACCACCAATATTCAGCACCCTTTCTACCTATAAGTCACCATATCATCTAATTCAACTACCTGAAACGCGCCACGTTTCAATTCTCGTATCATGAACTCACCACTCCAACAGCCGAAGATATTGAATAATAAATAACCACGTAGCCCTGCTCCATGAATCGTGTAAGTTTACTTTTTTTAATTTCCGCCCAAGTTCCCAGTGGCTTGAGCACATATTGCATGATAGCTTCCCGTGTAAAAGTGAAAACTACAACCCAAAAAGAGATCAAGCACAAATCCCATAATCCTTTTCCATAAGAGATTTTTGTCAACTTCGTATGATCATGATGAGATCCAATCGGATATGCGACGAATAGAAATTTTGAAAAAGGATTTCTGGAAGTTGGGTTGACGAGGTAACCAAGAATAATTGTGCCTATAATTATTAGAGGAAGTTCTGCAAAGTGTATTTCAAATGAGCATATAAATCTTTTTCATAATACATAAAAAATCAACCATGGAAAAATAGAAAGTTCTCTCTCACTTGCCTATCTGCCGTTCAATTATATAAGTCGCAAGCCTTGACGAAGAAGTCGTCTTTTTTGAAAAAGGAGAGTCATAGGTAGAAGAACGTTTTTCATTAATTACTTCACGTTTTCTCATATCTTCTTCTGACATCCTTTTTTTCATAAATTTATTTTTATTTAACTTTTAAAGGTTACGCGCCTTAAATTCTCAAAATCTACGAGAGAAGTCTTTAAACAATAGTGTTATATATTAATGAGAATATTTATTTTTTTAAAGTGCAACGACGAAACCACTCGAAACTAGAAAAATTTAATTTTTTTTTGGTGATACAACAAACTAGGCTTAGTATGTATGTTTGGGGTTGGGGTGATACATCATTTTATCATCATCAAACAGAAAACGCTTAGCTTTAAATGATAGCGAATGAATTGTTGGTTAACTAGCATTATGATTTCATAAGCAAAAATTTTGATCTCGAAAATTTTGATCTAATTATTTCTCAATAAAGATAGCAACCACGCACAAACCCCAATGTTTATTATTAATAAAACTTTCATTGTCATGCATGCAGATAACATACATTAATAGCGACAGCATACATATTGCCCATAATTTTTCTTTTAAAATAAATGACAAGGTTAGATTGAAAAATATCGTTAGATATAATAATTACAATTACATTTATATGGATATATCGTATTTCTTATTATCGCTCTTGTAAGCGCGTAAAGAGCCGTCGTCGTTTTCGTCTAGTACTATTCTTCAAATTTTCGTCGAATCCTTAGTTTTAATAATTAAAAAGTACATGTATATGTATGTATACAGTAATTGAATAAGTCCCAAATATCTCTGAACAATTGTATCGTGTACGCGTATCTTATCCTTCACACCAATTTGTTTGAATTCGTATACTATAGATCAGTAATAGAAATTGTTTTTACATAATAATGTCGTGTAAATAAATAAAATACTATATATACACATAATATATATAATTTATATATATGTGTTACTATGAGAAAGGAATTACTTACCAATATTTAATTTAAAATAGCCCATGACGTTAAAGATGGATTTTGTACATTTAACATCAGGAATTTAGGAATTTTTGATACGCCATTTTGCTGTATTGATTATTCTTAACCATTATTCTAATAATGTTTATCTTTTTTGCAGATTTTGATACCCAGAGTGAGTAAATTGCTTATATTTTGTTTGTCCATATATGTTATTCAAATATTTCTATTTAAAGTATAAATGCCACTTTAATTACATAATTATATCTTTACATGATAATGTATCTTTAACTCTAACTTTTATTGCGAAAAGATGTCCCTCTCATCATAATGCATAAACGGTGTGATTCAATAACACCAATTGCGCAAAACAAACACTAGATTTTTATATCAAATAATTTTCGGATGAATTAGTTTTGATATTCATATTTATATTTATATTCTGATGAATAATATAATAATAG